ATCAATGAAATTAGAGTGCTCAAAAGTTGGTACATTGTTCAGGTGGAAGGTAAAAGATTTGGTTAACATTACATTATGATACATTTTGGAAGAAATTTCATTTCTAGAGTAATCTCTGTAGAAAATGCCTATAATTTCCTAAAATGGAAATTATATCATTTTTTTAAAAAATCCAAAAAAAGTTAAGAGAAGAAGGAAAATTAAGCTTAGAACAGGTGAGACAAACAGAAAACACAGATTTAAACAAACAGAAAGAAAAACCTATTGCCTTCTAGTTGAGTGGCCCCATGTGTGACAATGTAAAACAGTTCCATGGGGTTTTCTTGGATGTAATCTATACAGGAGTATATTGTCAGGCCTTTCTTCCATAGCACTGCTGGATGTGTTCGAAGAGCCAAACCTTAGGTTAGCAGCCCACTGCAAATTGCTTGTGCCACCTTAATTAAATTAAGGGACCTTAATTTGAACCCAATTATATCAATATTCACTTTTACTGTAAAGAAACTAAAAGACAAAGGTAGCAAAAATAACAAAATGTAACTATATGCTGTTCCAAAGAGACACATCTAAAACTTATGATATAGAAATGGAAAAGTAAAAGAAAGAAAATTATATGCCATGAAGATACTAACCAAAAGAAAGCTGGGGCATTATTTTAATGCCAGGCAAACAGAATGTAAGGCAAAAAGGGTTATTAGAAATAAAACAGGTCACTTCAGAGAAATCTTTCATATTCCACTATTAAGTGTGACATTTATAGTTCCTTCATCTAAAGAGATTATTATGAAAAGCCTCAGGTTTCTCATGCACAATGACAAAATGACAAGTTTTCCTGTTAGGACTAAGAATAAACCACTCGTATCCATCATTACCAATTCTAGTCAGTACTGTACTGTAGCCAGGAGAGTCAAGCAAAGAAAGAAGACATACAAAGGTTAGAGAGGAAGTAGAAGGGAACAACCAAAACTATCATTAACGATAGATGATATATACTTAGAAAACCCAAAAGAATCTACATAAATAATTTGAGCTGGTAGTATTGTGGCATGTTACACCATCACTGACTCAAATCACCACTACTACAAATCCAAATTCAGTGTATGTTTACTGAGTGCCTTCTGTACACAAGTTTTTGGTACAGCATCAATGTTCCAGTGAAGCACTTCTCAAACAATAACCTGGACAATGGTTAAAAATGCACATTCATAGGCCCACCTCAGAGTCATAGAATCAAGATATCTGCAATTAAAAAAAAAAAAAAAAACTCACTGCCATCAAGTCGATTCTGACTCATAGCAACCCCAACTGAATTTCTGAGGCTATAAATCTTTACAGAAGTAGACTGCCCCATCTTCCTTCTGAGGAGCAGCTGGTGGGTTTGAACCACTGACCTGGTTATCAGCCAAATGCCTTACCCACTATGCCACCAGAGCTCCCTAAAGAACATGGGCATCTTCACTTTTTGCAATTTCTCTGGTGATTCTACTATAATCATTATAATGGATTCAAGAAATGTGTACAATTCTCTATGAACAATTTCTTAGGAATGTTATTAAATAATATTGGTCAATTACAAACCAATAAAGAAATACCTCCCTTCAAGACCTAATCTACCTCATTTACAAACAGTTTATATTAACCTGTTTGTTTTCTAAATCCCTCTCTTTGGATAAGAGATAGATTTCCCTGTGGATAATTTCCCTGGCCCCTCTGACATAAACACACAAGAATATTTGCAAAGCATTATGTTCGAAATAATATTAGTTTCCCACCAGAAAACATACAAAAATATAAATAGTATGCAATATGATTTATTGTGTCTTTTCATATTATAATGTAGCAACCAAAAAAAAAAAATGCCAGTTAGCAGAATTTTTCCATAGGCAATTTAATTTATTCCTTTCTGACTGTACACATGAAATATTTCAGCTCATTCAAACAGTAATTGAAGCTGCTCCTCAAAATCATGATACAGTTAAGACCACTTACTGCTAATCTTGGTGTTTGGCCTAGATTAGGTGATCAATTCCCAGCTTCAAGGTACTGGCAACTAATTAATAAAAAGATTTAGAAAGCACAGGTTGTGTAGTGGAATTTAACCACACCATGACACTGACCTAGAGGGCAGCAATATGGTACCTATTTTTATGAATTACAACATAGAGCTCATTATGTGTCAGTCACATTTCAATTTACAAAATAGATAACAATGGTTTTGACATTAAGTTTTTAATAAATTTAACCATAATTTCTACAGTCAAGGATCTAATTTTACTACATGTGAAAGGAAAATATATATTGCTCTTCTCCTAAAGAGAGTATGAATCTCAAATTTAAATTATTCTTAGAAAATCATCTCCCATCGTACCCCTACATTTATGCCAGCCAAAGTGATAATTATTCCCCAAAGAGAAAAACAGATGGACAGATGGACAGATACACACACACATACTATTTCCCAATGCAGTTACTTTTTCCATTTTACCCACTGCCGTTGAGTTGATTCCAACTCCTAGCAACCCCTCCTTGGGTTCCTGAAGCGGTATCTCTATGGAAGTAGATTTCCCAGTCTTTCTTCCAAGGAGTGGCTGGTGGGTTTGAACCAACAGCCTTCTAGTTAGCAGTCAAATGCCTTACTAGTCATGATAAACGTAGCTTACATTATTGAAATACCATCAATCTAAGATTCATCTCATGCACGATCTCTCCAACTGGATTTTTTCACTGCTGGGTAAATTCTTCTGGCATCTTCTTTATTCCATCTTGAGTGCCTGAGAGCAGGGGCTGGATTTTATTTCTCGTTAGATCATGCCTTGCCCTCCCCATGTCTAGTGCCTTGCAAAAAGGACCAAAGCAAACCAAACTAGTTGCTACCAAATTGATTTCTAATTCATGGCAACTCCATGTGTGTCAGAGTAAGATTTTCAGTAGCTGACTTTTCAGAATTAGAATGCCAGCCAGCTCTTCTTCTGAGGTTCCTCTGGGTAAAGTGAACCTTCAACCTTTTGGTCAGCAGCCAAACGCTTTAACTGTTGCACCACCTAGGGGCTCCTGCAGAAAGGAGGCTCTCTAAAAATTACTGACACCCTTTACATCAATGTGTCAATTCATCAGATTAGTTTTTCTACCCAAATATAGTTTGCACTTGTACAATACATGCTTCTTTGGTGAAAGAATAGTCACATAAAGATAAAGAATTAAGAGAATACATTGGTTTTGACCTAAAAGTAGGCATGATAATAAACTGTTTATGGAATAAATCCACAGCCCAAAGCCATGTTATTCCTATTATACACAGCATAAACCTAAACTGTCACCTTCCAGTTCCTGCCAATGCTTCCAACGGAGGCCTTGTTTGTGAAGAATGAAGAATGAAGGCCACACAGATGTGTTGTGTGAAAATCAACAGGCCTTCTCTATTGGGGAAAAATATTTGAGACATCCACCAGTGATTTGCTTGGTATTTAAATGATAAAGAAACAAAGAATATTAACAACAACAACAACAAACAAGACCTCATTCAACAAGTGACCAAAACTTCAACCATGAGAATATCAAATAAAATTAAGCTATTTTAAAGTAAAGTAGAAATAAAGAATAATGAAACAGGCAAGAATAAAACACCGAGAGCAAAATAAATTTATACATAAGACAACAATTTTTCAAAAATCTTGCTTGGCTTGGATGTTCTGTTTGCCTCCCAGCTACAAACACATCCTTCACATGTGCTTTGAATGCTGCAGAATGCTAGTCAGCATTCAGGGGCTTCATCCACAGTCCCAGTGATGTGCCTCTGGGTTTAATAGACAGCCCTTTGTCCTCAGGAGAGGTTAGGGGTTGGAAAGCAAATATGCAAACAACTGAGTTCTTTCCTTAAGGTAGCTGGAAAAAGCAAGCTCCCTATTGCTACTGAAAATAATAATAATAATAAACTTGCTAGTTTAAGGATTTGCTTAAATATCTTAGTATCTTACAATTTTGAGGGAGAAGACAATAGGAAGGAACACACTTGTCCTGGGTAAAATCTGTTCTCAGAAGAGGTTACATATATATGCCAGTTGATTTACCAGACTCACTAAAGATTTATTATTTATCAATCTGTGCCTCGGACATTTGATTCTCCCCCAAGGGAAAATTAACAGTTCTAACTAAAATAATATGTTCTCTTATGAACTAAAATGAATGCAAGAATCGATCCTGTCTCTGTGTACAACATCCAATTATATGTATTGTTGTTGTTGTTGTTGTCATGTGCTGTCAAGTCGGATTCAACTCATAGCAACCCCTCCTTGGGTTGCCGAGGCAGTATCACTACAGAAGTAGAGTGCCCAACCTTCCTGCCGAGGAGTGGCTAGGGGGTTTGAACCACCAGCCTTCTGGTTAGCAGTCAAGTGCCTTAAGTATACATATATATACCTGCTCAAGAACCACCACTCACTCTGGTAGACACTTCCAACCAGGGAGGGGTGAGGACAAGTGCTCCTAACCACCTGAGCAGAAAGAGGGCTCCCACTCCAAGCCAAAAGTTTAAAGGGAAAAAAAAAAAAATGTGGCCCAGCCCTGGCATCATGGGGAGTTTGATGTCCCCAGGTGGGTGGGGGTAGGGAGGGCTACATCTCTGATCAGCAGGAGGTTGTGCAGGGTATTCAGAGAGGCCACATCACTCTGGTTGCCTAATCAAGATGTGGGTGCTGGTGCAGTCCTGGGTAAGTGGAGCTGGTTATCTGGTTCCAGCTTGCATTGGAAGGCTGCTTACAATAATTCGAAATGGCTGCACTGTGCTGGTTAGCAGTTTACTGCTCCTTGTTCACTGTTTTTGTTTAGTCTTTTCCTCTCATGGGTATTTGACCAACTTCTCTTGTTTTTTCAAGTCTTTGTTGTAGAGGGTCTGGAGAATGTATTTGCCTAGTCCACTATCTTGGATCCTATCATAAGAATTTATCTTTTCACAGCACAAACACTAGCAGCTCAACCCCAACAGGAACCAGTCAATTAAAACAATGTTGAAGGTGCATGTTCTGCTCTTAGTCTTGAGAAGTGCTCGGCTCTGGGTCCTGGCAGAAGGAGCTGGTGCAACCCAACTGCAAGATGTCATAGTAACCCCAGATGAGGAGGTTAACATGGTGACCCCAGGTGCCAGTGAAAAAACCCTATGAGTCCACTGACTTGAGACATCTGGTGCCAACAAGTGCAGAGTTGCAATGTGACACAGTCACATTGAGGACTCCCAAAAACACAGTTCATACCAAGAAGAAAGCTGTAACATCACAGCCGCTGATGTGGAGACTGATCACTCCAGGGACAAAGTGGGTGGAGAAGCCAGACAACAATTGAGAAAGATGGTTTGGCAACAACGACCCTGGACAGAATCATAATTGGGGTCTTAGTAGCCATTAGTCTCATTGGTAGGATCATCATTGTGGTTGTGCAAATAGTGTCAGGAAGGTACTATCCTAAAGTGCTGAAAAATTGTGTGTTTCTATCAATATGTTTAAAAAAAAAAAAAACAGTTTCTTCTTTTACCCTGAGCCTGAGAGAGAAATTGAGCCTTAGAAATGCCACTAACCTGACTCTAAACCCATGGTGATCCCTCCACTAGCCAAAAGTAACTGAAGAAAAAATAAATGCCCTAGACTTGTTCCTCTAAGCATTTGCCATTTGGAACTTTTTTTTTAAGATAAATATTTTAAATGAGAATTTAAAAAACAAAGTGCATAGAAAATGGGGTAAGACTACATAAATGGATTTGTAACTAAGACAGACAATAATTCAACCGATGTTAGAAATTGTGATTATGTCTTCATCCTGAACATTTTTTGTTATTGTTAAAATGAAAAGGAATCTGGAAATATTTATTCCAATGGAGTACTCGTGTCTAGTGTTTTATCCATTAGTGGCACTGGCATTTTGCAATTTCTGATCTGTTAAAATATATACATTTCAATCTAGTTTGTATCTAGTTTGCATCTGATTTAGTGTGAATTAGAAAATCTCTTCTTTGATAATATGTAATGAGCAACTATCTTTAGTTGGTCCAGATAAATCATTTCACAGGCATCCACTGCTGTTCATAAACAGAAAGTCTATACTTGGGAGAAAACATTTTGTTCACCACAAAGCCACTGGTTATCCTCTAGGCTACCTCTCCAGTGATGACTTGATAATTCACAGGTTTGCTCCACTTGCCCCCTTTACTTCCCTCCAGTGATGGAGATCCAGAGGTAAGGGGTGACCTTCTCTCTTTGCTATGACTCAAGGCTGTGTTCTGCAATGTGGTGCCAAGGAGGCTGCTAGTTGCCCCATGGAGCCAGAGGCTCAAGTATTCCAGAAACTAAGAACCCCCTTACTGCTCAAAACAAAGAAGCTCTATGTATGCTGCTGACAGGAAATAGAACCTGATAGCTTTCAAACATTTGCTTTCTGCCTCAGAAGAAAGACACAGGGAGAGAAAATAAGCTTATACAATACTGATTTTTATACAGCTGTATTTAAAGATGTGATTTAAAAAAAAAAAAAATTAAATCTTTATGATATACCATGTATTGCTACATATTCCTTTTTTTAAAAATTAAAAAGCAGAGGGGAATCACCATGGGTCTACACCATATAACTTGGCACAGCTTTTCCCATAGAATTTGTTTTTCTAAACAAAAAGTTTTCATTTTGAGCAGATGCTCTGTCAAGATCACAGTTATGCAATTCTGATATCCTCTAAATTGTAAGAGTTCATTAAACAGAAAAAAAAGTAAATTGTCAATCAGAAGTATAGCCCATTCTTCCTGTTTTGTACAGTGATATGTGGACATTAATCAGTGTGACCTTGTGTTATGCAAATCCAGCTGGTTTACTAGCCCAGGTTCCGTGTTTAAACACCAACTAGTGGTTTACTTGATATAACTCTTCTAGCCATGCTGTTTGTTATTAATCCTACTAGATAACTGAGTGGGACTATGTGTGGCCCACCAAAGGGACATGAGATATATGGCACCCTTAGAGGGGTAGGATCATGGAAATCAGGTGTATGGAACCCTAACAGAGTTGTTCAGTTTTGCCATCTCACTAGGCTTAACATGAACCAACTCAGAGGCAGAAAGGAGGATCTCATTACCATCAATAAAGAAAAGCCAGGAGTGGAGCATGTCCTTGGACCTGACGTGACATCCTTGCACTGAGATGGCAGAGAGACTGACAAAATGATGACTGAAAGATGGCAGCAACAAGGTAGCAGAACCAAAAGACCAGTATGAGAGAGAGCAGAGAACTTCCTTGCCCACAGAGAGAGAAAGCTGAGTGCCTTGAGGCAGGAGTCTTGCTGGTGGCATAGGGTGCCTCTCTAGGCATCTATTGACAAGGCTAAAAGAGCATTGTAACACTTGCCAGAAAACAGCAGAGGCCAGGCCAAGGGGCCAAGAGCCAAAGAGAGGCATGTCTATTGGCATGGCTGAGGGGATCCTGTCCTGATGGAAGAACTGTATCTTGAATGTTCCTGAATCTGAATTGTAACCTGTTACTTCCCGAATAAACCCCATAATTGTGAGTATTGTCTGTGAGTTCTGTGTGGCCATTGCAACGCATTATCAAACCCAGCATAGAAGTAGAGAGTGCCATGTTTGTTGGTGTCAAACTAGCACAAAGATTTAGAGAGGGGTGGCCTGTCTAACCTCCACTTCATAGGAATCAGCTTTGGGATATTAATGTTGTTCTGGATCCTCCTTCCCTTTTCTGACGTTAGAGGAGATCAGGCAATGTCTCTCCCAAGCCCTTTTTGCAGCAGGTCTGAAAGAGCTGTATGAGCTTAAATAGACTTCACTTCCATTGTTCATATTCCTGACAGAGTTAGGAATAGTTCCTAATTCTTCTTCCCCGTCTTTTTTCCCCTCACTGTAAAATACATGTATGTATGACCCTGTGTTAGGCTGGGTTCTCTAGAGAAGCAAAACCAGTAAAGTTTAGAGAGAGAGAAAGAGAGAGAGAGAGAGAGAATACATATATGTATCTTAGGAAAATGGCTCACACAGTTGTAGAAGCTGACAAGCCCCAAGTTCTGGATGAAACGTCAAACTGGAGCCTTTTCCCATCTCAAGCAGCCGCAGTGGCTGATGAGGTCAAGGTTGGCAGGAAGTATACTGGCTGTTGAATTTGGTAGATGATGAATCCAAGAACACCGGGCAGAATGGTGGATTGTTCACTCATGGACAGTTGTAAGCAGCACAACAGGATCCAGATCCACAAAAGTTGTCTCTTTTTCCCAGGATGTCCATATATACATTGGAAAGAGGCCACAACCCCAGGGAAACTCCCTGTCAATGGATTGTCTGCTCAAAGCTCATTAATCTGATCTCATCATGGAAATAACCACATCACAACTGCTTAAACCACTCAGAATCACGGGCCAGCAAAGCTGACACACAACCCCAAACCCCAAGTCATACACACACACTTGTTTCTTGGTCATGACTGTGTTGATGCTCAATGCAGTGTAGATGTGTTTTCAAAAAACAGATGATTATGTACAAAAAAAAAAAAAAAAAGATGTGGGAAGATAAATTTGGTAAAATCTGGAGTATAGTTAGAGACACACTAAGTTTAAGAGGCTTATTAGACATTCCAGTAAGATATAATGTGGCAGGTGGAAACACAAGTCTGAAGCTCAGGGAAAGAAGCCTGAGCTATGATATAAATTTGGAGTTTCAATTATAGGGGTGATATTTAAAGCCATGAGACTGGATGTATTCACCAAAGGAGTGAGTATAAACAGAGGAAAAAATACCACTAGAGCACTCCAATATTGAGAGATGGGCTGATGAGGACAAAGCAGCAAAGAACTTTAAGAAAAAGTGGCTATAAGGTAGAAGGAAGGATCCCTGATGGTGCAGTGGTTATGCACTCAGCCACAAACTTAAAGGTTAGTAGTTTGAGCCCACCAGTGGCTCCACAGGAGAAAACACCCAGTGATCTGCTCCTGTAAAGATTACAAACTACAAAACCTTATGGATCATTTTTACTCTATCTTATGGGCCCACTCTGGTGGTGTAGTGCCTAAGGCATTTGACTGGTAACTAGAAGGCTGGCAATTCAAACCTACCAGCCACTCCTCAGAAGGAAGACTGGACAATCTACTTCAGTAGTGATAACACCTTGGAAACCCAAGGAGGGGTCGCTATGAATTGGATTCAACTCTACGGCAGTGAGGTGAGTTGAGTTGAGTTGAGTTGAGTTATAGGGTCACTATAAGTTGGAATCAACTCAACAGTGCACAAGAAAGCCAAGGTGGAAGGAGATCCAGTAGAGAGTGATATCCATCCCAGAAGTCAAGTGGAGAAAGGGTATCAAGAAGAGAGATATCAGCTGTGTCAGGCACTATTGATAGGCCAAATAATATGAGAACTGGGAATGGACCAATGGATCTAGCAACATGGAGGTCACTGGTAACATAGACAATGACAAGTATTGGAGGACTGGTGGAGATAAACACCTGACTAGAATGGCTTAGAGAGAACGGGAAACAGTGAGTATAGATAACTCTTTAAAGGATTTTGGCTATAAAAGGTAAGCAGAGAAATGGATGGAGGAATGAAAGACTTCATTCATTACATTGTAAGTTAGTGAGAATAATTCAGTAGAGAAAGAAAAATTCATGATGCAGGAAAGGAGCAGATTACTGGGATAAATCCTTGAGAAGATGAGACAGAATAAGATCTAGTGCACAGGGGAGAATTGACTCAGATAGGACTCAGACAGTCCATCCACAGTAAGAGGAAGGAAGACAAAGTACATGAGTGCAAAGGCAGAAAGGTGGACACATGTGTCTCACAGTGGTCTGCTTCCCTCCCCATTATCCTGCTGATGAAGCTGATGAAGCAGGTTGAATTACCCTTCTGATTGCCTGCATGATTTTTTAAGCCTTATGAGATAGCAACCTTATTGATTAGTATTGTGTCATCAGTGGCTAGAATAGTACATAAAATAGCACATAGTAGGTAACTCAATAAATATGATAAGTGAATGAATGAATGGTTCAATTAATGAGTAAATGTGAATTCTACCTTCCAGACATTAAAAAATTGAAAAGCTAGAAATCATAATACAATGTTGTAGTTGCATGAGATGAGATAGATCAATGGAACAGAATGAAAACTCTAGAAAACACACCCAAGTGTAAGTGTATGTGTGTATACACATGGAAATATGCATGCACAAAGAAAATTATAAAAGTGATGTTTTGGTTACCTCTGTGCTGCTCTAACAGAAAATACCACAAATGGGATGGCTTTAAAAAACAGGAATTTATTCTCTTACAGTTGGAGGCTTTAAGTCCTAGTGCAAAGTGTCAGCCTCTAGGGGCTGGGTGAAAGTCCCTAAATCTTGGGCTTCAGCTCTGCCTCCTGCTCCTAGCCCACTAAAGCTGGAGGTTTTTCTTTGCTCAGACAGCTGCTGGCTACTGAGGCTAACAAACCCAAGGTCGACAAGTAAAACGACACAGTCCCAATGTTACCAAACAACATGGCAGACCATTAATTCAAGTCCATTGAAAGTCCCAAGATCCATACAGCATGGCAGGCTGCTGAACAAAAGACTCAGCTACATGCAGGGTTCAAGTGTGCCATAAACTGGAGACCTTCCTCAAAGCTGCTTCTTATATACAGGAAGCAGACCACATCTCTAAAGCAGTTACTCAGCTGCTCCAGTAGATTCTACTATGGAGTTAATTGCCAATCTCACCATGGAGAATAAGTACATCCAGCTGCCGAGCCACTCAACCAGGTCCAGCCAAGCTGACATACAACCTTAACTACTACAAGTGGCATTACCAATAAGCAATAATAGCGTAAAATACTTAATAAATTATTAACACAACTTGCTAGATATTTAACAACAAAAAATGCTTCCATGTCACACCACATACAAAAATTAATTACAGGTGACTTAGAAGTTTAAATTTTTTTAATGAAAGAACCAAGATATGTGAATATTTGTAGACTCTTAGTTTAACACCAAAAGCAGAAATGTAAAGGAAGAGAAAGAAAATTATATCAAAATTTTATGCATCAAGCAACACAAACAAAACTAAAGTGCAAGTTATAAACTGAGAGAGTTACTTCTAACACATATGAGCTAATAATATATTCCCACTATATAAAGAACTCTTAAACATCAAAACGAAATGTATGTATTTTTATGTACGCATATGTGTGTGTATGTATGTATGTGCTTCCCTAGCAATGGCTACTGAAAAAGCCTAAAAGCAAAGACACCAAAGTAACAATGAGTACACACATTGTCAACACCTTGATGGCCAACACTATTCCACATCAAAAAGAAT